TGGATGGATGGATGGATGGATGGATGGATGGATGGATGGATGGATGGATGGGTGGATGGATGGATGGATGGATAGATGGATAGATGGATGGATAGATGGATGGACAGATGGATGGACAGACAGATGGATGGGTTTCCAGTACCAGGCATGATTTCCCTCTTTTTGAGCAGGTCTTTCATCCAGTTAGAGAACTGCTGACTATCAGCTAGGTATGTTGAGAGTGGGAGAAATAGTCTTTCCCAGAGAAGAGCCCTTCAATTGTTTATTTAATATCAAATTGTCAGCCCTTTGTGTATTATATAATACAAATAACAATAGTGGCTACACTGGCTATATTTATATATTAAAAGATATTATATATTATATATTATATATTTATAAACAGCATATATATTACATTTATATATAAACAATTTATATATTAAAGGAAAGGGGGCTGTAAATTTGAGAGAGGGGGGAATAGAGCAGTACATGGGGGGCATGGGGGAAGGAAAGGGGAGGGGAAATGGTGTAATTACACTGCAATGTAAAAAAATATTAGTGAAAAGACAAAAATACGAGGGATAAAGTTTTAAACTCATGGACATAAACAACTAGTGGAAGTCAAGTGAGTTAGAATTTGATTAATGTAAGGAATTGTTCAAAAATCGCCCCTGATCAGTCAACAATGTGGCTGTTAAGTGGCGTGGAGGCCTTGTTATAGGAAAATAAAGGAAGGGAAGTTCACCTGTGCTGGACTGAGCTTGCTCTTAAGTGTTCTAAAATTCTGTCATCGTCTCCTCTGGTTCATTATGGTTATTATGTTGGGACACTCTTCTGAAGTTTTCCATTTCAGCTGAGGGAATTTTCTAAGATGTAATTTTACTGTAGCACTAAGCTCTAAAATTAAGTAAAACCTCTATAATGTTTCCATCTACCCGAAACCTACAGCAATGCTCTCATCCAAGGCTGCATCCTGGACTGATGATTTTCCAAGCCTTTCTGTTACTTATCAGAACAGCTACTGAAATTGGAAGCATAGCTAACCTTCCCGTTATAATAAGGCAAACATAGTCATTCTGAAATTGGTTCCAATGCTAAGCCATTATATTCATGAATCACCACAGGCAACATATATAAAAATGGAGCTGATCTCAGTTTCTCTATAAAGTCTCAAGGGAAACTTTTGGCGGTTGTGAGGCACCTCAAACCCAATACCTCAAAGGGTGTGTGTAGATTCTTATGATCTGGGGTCTACTGCTGTTCTCACCTGAGCTTGCTAACCTGGAGCATTCAGGAGTAGCTCTGGTGGCTGTCTGGACACGGACTTGGAGTATTTGTGGTTTTATTCTACTTCTTTCTAAATTGAAAAGAAAGACCTTGATGATTCATGATTTTATAGAAAATTAGATGACATGGTGATACAAACTGAAGATCAAAGAAATTATTGAAAGCACATTCAATGTGGTCATCAAGATTTCAGCTGAGACTTTTTCTCATGCCTATAAAGTAGATCTGTAATGCGGTGCTATTATTCTTCCTTCCCAACTCCATCTGGAATCAATTTTAACGTTTCAAATGTTTGTTTAAGCTTCTTAGTCTGAGCATGGGAGGTTCTAACACTGCTCTTAGTCTTTTAAACTTCAGGTCATCTACTGATCTCCGTCACACCTTACTCTGTACACATCAGCTCTCATCTATCTTGACAGCATATGAATGTGATTACTTCAAATGATGCTTTAAGATGTCTTCTGCAACACAGTTGTTATAACTTTATTAATTAATGGTTTATCACCTAGCCAGGCTTAGTATTAATATTTTTAGAATAATTAATGTTCTCTTCACTGTTTAACTTGCTTTCTCCATATTCATTCAAGCCCTGCTGAGAGTGTTTTTTAATATGATCCAACTCATCCTCCCTTTAGTGCCATGTTGTTTATTTTTTCTTTTATGTCATTTAAGACACTAGGGAGGCCTCTCCTACAGCCCTTTGCTTTTTTCCTCCATTCTCAATTTGTTCACCCACAAAAATTTTTCAACTGTATGTTGGTATCATCCTTCATTGTCATATCAAGAGACTTCCTTCTTTCTCTTTCTTTTAAAATCCACCCATTCCTGACTCCTGCATCTTTTAGGATTTTGATTTGCTTCTTCATTGTGCTGGAGAACACACTTGGCAACTTTCTTGGAAAGAATGTTATGGAAAGTCCCCAGAGCTTTAACTATATTAATTGGATCTAGGACTTTTAGAAAAATTTGAAGTAGAAGTAACTTTGTGTTAGACTTTTTAAGGAATTGTTCTTTTGTCTAGGACAGATATTGCTATTGAGAAGTGTATTGTTAGTGTGATTCTTATGTTTATCCCCCAAAACTTTTACTATCATGTTTTTTTCTGACATTGTATAAAAATTTGAAATAACAAAGGTTGTCTTTTGCTGGACCTTATAATTTTACTCTTTAAATCTGAAAAACAATGAAGTTTTCATGTTTCATGCTTTTTAAGTTGACAATTTCATACTTAAATAGAAGGGAGTGCCCACTCTCTGTAACCCACTTCCTGGGAATACAAATCTCCGTTTTCTCTACTTTGTAAAATCCCACTAGTGCTCATCACACTATCCTATGACTTATTAGAAAAAAGTGTTGCCCAATAACTTCTCCATGCTCTTTTTATTTTTGGAAAGGAGCAAAATAATTTTATGCAACTGCAAAATAATTTTAATGGTTACTTGAGCAAAATGATGGTATGTGTGTAAACATTTCATCTTGTTGTTTTAAAAGATATACAAATGGTATCTTAAGTATGTTTGCTAGTTGCGGCTGCTAAGGTTAGTAAATATTTGTAGGCTGATAGCATTATACAGAATAAACATTTCCGTAGTGTTTTCCCTTAAGTCATAGACGTGATTAGATTTAAATTAGCACTTCGGTTTCCCTTTTTCCATAATCCAGCCGTATCTTTTTCTATTTATTGAGTTCAAACATGTTCTTCAGACCGAATTTTAAGTCTCTTTGTTGTTTACTCATGAGAAAACCACCTAAAGCTTGACCATTTTTATCTTGTGTATTGATTTTGGTGCAGTGTGGCACAAATGATAAATGGTGAGTTTGTATCATTGTACGACTTGTACAACAAGCTTATGAAATAACCATTTCTTTTAAACATAGTGCCAAGGTCAGTAGACCATCCTAAGTGGACCTGGCGGACTAAACCACAAGGCCGTGATTTTGATGAATTGAACCACATCCTTCAAGAGAGCAAGAAGTTGGGGAAAGCCCTTGAGAATCTTTCTCGAAGTAAGTTCATTTTCTTGACAATAATTGAAATCCAGATCCGACGTTAAAGTAGAAACCTCCATCACTATTGGCAATGATCCATTTCTGGGATCCTCATTATCATTGTGCAAGGCCAAGGAGTAGAAAGGGAATGAGCCTTGAAAAGACGTTTGACTGTGCTGTGGCACAGACCTGTTACCAGGCAGGAGGGCAGGAGCTATAGGACCTCTTGGAGAGGCTGAACTCTGATGTTCTGAATAGTGTCTGTCACATAGCTCAAACGTACATCTAGTGTCATCTTCTTCAGTCTTCTACGTTGAAAAGTACTCTTTTGTCCATTCGCACTAGGAAGCACTCTCTCACCTCAATAGAGATGATGTCTATCAAATTCTTACAGGGCAGTAAGTGGACCAAATTCTTCTTAAATTCCTTTCAGAGATGAGTGTGGTGTCATATAACTTCCTTTTCCCCCAAACGTCATAGCTATACTCTGAGGGCACAGCACAGAGATTTCTGTGTCATCCGCAGAGTGATCTCCACATATAAATCACGTTACTTCCATGGGACGATCCTCTCATCACTAAAGCACAATGTCACTGTGGCTCCCTGGGGAAGGCTGAGACTGTGAGATAAGAAGATCTTCAGGCAGAAACTTTTCAGTCAGTACCATTGTCACTGCTCCAGCAATCCAACAAGCATTTTTGATTCTGTGCCTTGGTGAATGTGTACTGAATTTGTAGATGTGCATGCATCCATTATGATTTTAGAAACAAACTCATGGTATTCTTCTTTGTTTGCATAGGTGTTTCTTTTGTTTCTCTCTCTCTCTCTCTCTCTCTCTCTCTCTCTCTCTCTCTCTCGATTTACTTATATATTTATTTAATGTATATGAGTACATTATTGCTTTCTTAAGACACACCAGAAGAGGGCATTGGATTCCATTACAGATAGTTGTGAGTCACCATGTGGTTGAACTCAAGACCTTTGAAAGAGCAGTCAGTGCTCTTAACTGCTGAGCCATCTCTCCAGCCCTAGATTTTTTTTTATAATGGTACCGTTTTACTAATTTAATGTGTCAAAGATTATTATTGTTCTGTGACATATTTTTTGACAAAGTTTATACATTATATATATGTATATATGTATATACATATATACATATATGTGTGTGTGTATTTTAATACACTTATACATAGATTTATATGTTATATATTTATAGAAATATCATTTTTATTTAAAACTAACTCATTTTTAGACTTTTAACAGTGAGGAGTTTTGAGAAACTAAGATGTTACATGATATTAAGCCCCTAGATAGGATTTAGCAAAGCCCTGCTTTGAGCTAGATTTACTTTTGGAGAAAAAAAAAACAATAAGATGGGGTTTCAGCTTATTATTGAATTGTGTTCCTGAAAGAATCTTGATCTCATTAATATGGCAAAAGGCAGATTCTACTATTTCTAAATCTGACTATTTGTGGAAATGATTGGGGCTGTAGCAGTTTTTTGATTATTTATAAACATGAACTAAAAGAAGGATGACGGAAGAACATGACTGATTCTTATACATATCCATCAAACTATGTCCTTTAAAACAAGCCAATGGCCAAGCATATGCCTTATTGTTCATTCTAGGTTCCTATCTGGTCTTCCCCAAAACTGTTACCTAAAGGAATATGCCACTATTTAATGATGTATGTTACTATAGTAGAAGTGTCAGTTTACACTGTGCTATGAAACAAAGCAACTCTGGCTGGTAAATTTTATACTCATAGAACACACTTCTCACAGTTCCGAGTGTTGGGAAGTTCAAGATCAAGGTCCTAGCTAATCCATGTTTAGTGAAGTTCATTTGTTGTTGTTTGTCTGTTTATCTGATTTTTTTATTGGTGATGGCTTCTTTGCATATCCTTGTGTGGTAGAAGGGCCAGGTAGCTCTGTGGGATCTTTTCTATCTACACTAATACCATTAATGACAGAGGAGACTTTGTACCATAATCATCCCTTGGGCCTCACTTCTTAACACTGCAACATTGAAGTTCAGGCTTTAACATATGTATTTGAGGAGATCGCCAACATTTACACATGCACACACGTAGACTACACAACTGAGTTCTGCTGTCTGAAGCCTGAGGTGGGCTTCTTTAATGTCTCAGGATAATATGGAGTAGCAGTATCCACTGAAACTGCCAGCAGTAGAGTAGCGGGGAGGCATCTGTTTAGTAATTTACTTCTTATAGGGCACAGTGGAGCATCTCTCTGAAGCTTCACCTTCTTCCAAAGAGTGTATTTGATTAGGTCAGGTTCACACAGGTTATTCTCTCTCCCTATTTGCTCAAAGTCCATGGGATCATGTTCTCACCAAGAGGCAAATATCTGTTCACACTAGTAGTCCTACTTGTAGTCAGGGGAGAGTGATACTGGACTAGCATGAATATTGGGAACTGTTTTATTATTCTGCCTAACAGAGCTACTTACCAGCCTACAGCATGCTTATTTATGTTCAATGCAATAGAAATATAAAATAAGTCACACATATGAGTTTCTATTTTAGTGAAATAATCACCCCAATGTGTAGATTAACAATATGTTCCATGTAAAATGATGCCTGGGATCTATTATCTTCGCTTTTTAGTTCTGAGTCCTCAAATGTTTGAATATTTCCAGTGTTTGGTTGCCTCATGAGGGAAAGGTGGCTGCTGTACCAGGCATCACACTCGAATGCTAACACACACAGAAAGCCCCCCTCTAAAGTTTTAACAAACTCCAGACATTCTCAGCTTTCCTTCAGCATTTCACATACAGTGTCCAAAAGAATAGCTAGTTGTCTAAAGTCTCCACTATGTCGGCTTCCTTCCACTCTTTAAGGTATCAGTGACTCTGTTGAAGTTACTTTCTATAGCGTCACCTGTTAACTTTAGCTGCTCAAGAGAATGGTATGATTTGTGGCCTTCATCCAATGAAACTTCTCCAGTAATTTTCAATTGTTCAACAATTTCTCTTTGACCTTTCTGACCTCTGACCTTTGGGAAGCTGGCAGACACTTTCCCTGCATTGGATGCGCTCACAGCATTTCTTGTAGGTCTTCTATGGGAGTCCTTGTATCCTGTGATTCACCCTTTGAATCGGCTCTTTACTCTCTGGATAGCTCATCCTTCCTCATTATTTATTCATCACTCCCAAACACCTAGCTCAAATGTGTTCATTTCATATCCATATTTTTTCCATGGGCTTTCATAGAAGTGAATTCTTGACATGTATCTCCAGTCATCCAACCCACATTACACTCAATATATGTAAAGGGAATGTGACTTCCCTTTGGCTTAGTTGGTACTAGTTTGGCTCATCAACCTTTCGTATATTCTCTTTTTTTCTTAGATCCCCCACCACAACTAAGTTTCTAAATGTTGGTCATTTTTCCTTTTATATATGGTTTGAATTTGGTTTATTTCTCTGCTTTTATCAGAACCTTGTAGCTTATACCTTAATATTATTGAATAGTCAATAATAAGAGGCCGGGAGCCCAGTTTCTCCATGAAGTGGCACACATCACGTTTATATCCATTCTACAAAAGCTGCAAGGGAGTCTAAAAGTTGGCTAGCATGTGAAGCCAGAAGAAGTATGGAGATAATTTTGGAATGAAATGTAGCCTTCCTCACACTCACAGATTGTTTCTCCAGTAAGCCCACATTGAAGATATAGTGACTGTTAAGTACAGAACTGGCACTTGTTTCAGATGTCTTCACTTAGAAGCTCAGGAAAACCTCTAGGTCTGGCCTTACCATGTCTTTAATGTCATGGCTTATGGTTTTTGCATACACCACATTCCATTAATGTGCCTCCCTGTCATTTGTCTGCTTATGTTGTTCTCCTTAAAAATCTCATCTTCTGGCACAACTTCCCTCTCTACGAAGCCTTGGGTCAAACGCATCCTTTGAGATGACTTCTCTGCTGCTGTCTGGTTCTCTATTAAATTCAGATGTGGCATCTTGAAACCTTACTGCACTTACCTGCCATCATCTGTCCTTCATCTCTTTTGACCGGGAAGACTCTAAGGACAAGGCTTCCTTAGCTCTCTGACTCCCTAAGACTTGGCCATCGTTAGGACTGAGCACAGCCGTGGTTTGCTGGCTCCATGTCTTCCACATGTATCTTCTTTGGGCTGTCTCTGTCTTCATTTCTGATCCAACTCCTTAATTGTGAGACATTGATATAAGATGGCATGAGCTTGGTGATGGGCTTGTTTGCTGGGAGCTGTTCCCATGACAATAGCATAAATTGGAGGGCTATGCTTAAAAACAAGTAGGTAAATCTGGGAACAACAAGCACAAATGGCAAAGCAGCTGCTTCCTGTCTCCTGCACCAGTGAACTGTTGCTCCCCTGGTGGCGAGGCTCCTCGTAATTTTTGAGTCTGATCCTCACTGGCATTTGGCAGCTTCCCTGGAAGAGCCAGTGGTGAGTGGGTGTAAGCCATCCAGACATTGTCCTGTTTACCATAGCTCACGTGAGAAAACTTCTGGAGCTTTTCCAGGGAAAGGCACCCAGCTGTTGGGAAACGGACAGACACCAATACAGCATGGGATAACAACAATCTGGACTCAGTCAAGATAAAATGTAACACAAAATTTTGTAGTCAGTCAATCATGAGCATACAAAAATAAATCTTCTCTGGTATAGCAGCCTGAGGAGCTAGAGCATAACAACTCAGGAGACAAAGTAGGAGCAGATTATGTAACAATCAATGGCTCGTTCATTACCACATTCATTTAGTGCCATTGAGCAATAACAAAGATATGGCCTTGGACTTTCCATTTGCATGTAGTGCTGAAGTTATAGTATGAAAATGTTCATTTCTACACTTTGAAGAAGGTGATGGAAGAGCTATGAGGGTGTAGTTTGTAACTCTATAACAAAGCACAAAGATAACACTGAGGCAGCAGCCCAGAACGAATGAGGATGGATTGTTATCAGACATGACGACAGATGCTCCAGCATGAGAAAGGGGAAGCCTTGTATTGTTG